CCACATAAGCAGAAAAAGCCAGAAGTGACACTGTGGCTCAAGTGGTAGAGTGCTAAGCTGAGGGACAGTGCCCAGGCCCAGAGTTCAGGCCCCACGACCAACAAAAAAATAAAACAAGAAAGATGACAGTGGGAATATAAAAAAGCTGAATGCTCAGCCAGGTGCTCACTGGGCCAGCTCATGAGAGCTATATTCAGCGGCTACTGGTGTCCCATCTCACAGAAGGGGAAACTGAAGTGCGGAGAAGTTTCAATACTTTTCATGGCAGTGTTTATTAGATGTTTAATGGGAGCCTGCATTCCGGCTGATGTCCTAGTACCACACAGTACCAGGCTCTAGCTGGTACTTAGTACCTAGTACCCACGGTATATGCTTGCAGGCAGCTGGGTTTCCAATTTCTGGTTCTTGCCTTCGATTGCTTCCTTCTTCCCTCTGGAAGAAGAGCGGGGCCTGCTCAGGCTCAAATCACTCAAAGCTGGGGTCATAGGCCACCTCCTCCAGGATCCTCAGCCTGCTCAGTAAGAGATTAAGTCCCTGCTCTAAGCTCCACCCTCTCTATTCTAAATTTTTTTGTGCTGTTCTGGGGGTTGAACTCAGGACATAGGCACTGTCCCTGAGCTTTTGTGCTTAAGGCTAGCACTCTACCGCTTGAGCTCCACGTCTAGCTATTTTAGGTAATATTTTGGACTCAGACTCTGAACCATGGCTTCGAACCATGATCCTCAGATCTCAGCCCCCTGTGCAGCTAGGATTATAGGCGTGAGTCCCCAGTGCCTGGTGAATGTCTTTACAAGGAGACTGGACATCTTGAGAGCCAAGGCTGCATCTGTCTTGCTCCCAGTTCTGGCTTTGTGGTGTGGGGTTTGAACTGAGGGCCACAGCTTGAGAGGCCAGTGCTCTTGAGGCCCAGGAGTTCGGCCTCCTGCTCACCAGTACACTGCAGGGATCGGGGAAAATCTGTTGAGTAAAAGTGCAGAGAGCACCGTTGCATGCTGAGAGTGTGCCTGGAACAGTGACACGGTTGTGTGAAACAGATACGGTTCTGTTTGGTGGAGGGAGACAGCAGTTTCTGGAAAAATTACACAAAGACAAGACATATTTTTGGAATAATTGCACTGTAGTCCTGTCCTCGGTTGACTTTAGATATTTACATGTATCCCTGGAAACTAGATGGCATTGGTTGATGTTTCTTTCTTTCTCTCTTTTTTTCATGGGTGCTGTCCATGAGCTCTTTTGCTCAAGGCTAGACTCTACCACTCCACTCGGAGCCACAGCTCTACTTCCTTTTTTGGTGGTTAATTGGAGATAAGAGTCTCATGGGCTTCCCTGCCTGGGCTGGCTTCAAACCTTGATCCTCAGATCTCATCCTCCTGAACAGCTATGATTACAGATGTGTGCCTTTAGCTCCCAGCTCAAATCTCTCTCTCTCTCATGGGGCTTGAACAATGGGCCTGGGCACTGTCCCTGTGCTCTTTAGCTTAGAGCAAGCACTCTACCACTGGAGCCATAGCACCAGCACCTTTTCCAGTTTTCTGGAGGTTAATTGGAGATAAGAGACCTACGGATTTTCCTGCCTGGGCTAGCTTTGATCTGTGATCCTCAGATCTCAGTCTCCTGAGTAGCTAAGATTACAGGTGTGAGCCATCAGTGCCCAGCTCTCTCTTTTTTTTTTTGTCGGTCGTGGGGCTTGAACTCTGGGCCTAGGTGTTGTCCTTCAGCTCTTCAGCTCAAGGCGAGCGCTCTACCACTTGAGCTACAGCGCCACTTCCGGTTTTCTGGTGGTTTATTGGAGATAGGAGTCTCACGGTCTCTCCTGCCGGGGCTGGCTTTGAACCGCGATCCTCAGATCTCAGCCTCCTGAGTAGCTAGGATTACAGGCGTGAGCCACCAGCGCCCGGCAGCTCTCTCTTTTTTAATGTTGATGTTAGGATATGAATGCAGAGCCCTGGACTCTTGTTTTTGTTTGTTTTTTGGTCGGTCGTGGGCTTGAACTCTGGGCTTGGGCACCATCCCTCAGCTCTTCAGCTCAAGGTGAGTGCTCTACCATTTGAGCTACAGCACCACTTCCGGTTTTCTGGTGGTTTATTGGAGGTAAGAGTTTCACAGACTTTCCTGCCCGGGCTGGCTTTGAACCACGATCCTCAGATCTCAGCCTCCTGAGTAGCTAGGATGACAGGCGTGAGCCACCAGCGCCTGGCTTCTTGCTTTTTTTTTTTTTTTAAACCACTCATAACCGGCATCTAACATGTACGCAGTCCATCATTTCACTGGTTAACTCGAGTCTTGCCGACTTCTTCAACCTTCCATCTTCCAGGTCTTAGTCTCATGAGTAGCTTGGATTATAGACATGAGCCACCAATGCCTGGCTTGTTTTTCTGCTGCTTAGTGCCCAGGAGATCTTGCATAGTTTTGTAGAACAAGTGATATGTATCCATTAGCCCGGGCATGGACACACCATCTCCAACTGTGTTTAATCAAGCTCTCATTAAGAGTACTTCTTCTGGGCTGGGAAGGTAGCTCGCATGCATGAGGTCCAGTTTAATTCCTCAGCTCCACATAAGCAGAAAAAGCAGCACCACATAAGCAGAAAAAGCTGGAAGTAGTGCTGTGGCTCAAGTAGTAGAGCGCTAGCCTTGAGCTGAAGAGCTGAGGACAGTGCTCAGACCCAGAGTTCAGGCCCCACAACCAACAACAACAACAAAAGAATGCTTCTAAGCCAGGCACCGGTGGCTCACACCTGTAATCCTAGTGACTCAGGAGGATGAGATCTGAGGATTATGGCTCATAACCAACCTGGGAAGGAAAGTCTGTGAGATTCTGATCTCCAACTAACTACCAAAAAACAAAACAAAAGAAAACAAAAAAAAGTTGAGCTGTGGCTCAAGTGGTAGAGTACTAGCTAACTTTGAGCAACAGAAGCTTAGGAACAGTGCCCAGGCCCTTAATTCAAGCCCAAGGACTGGTACAGGAAAAACGATTGCTCCTAGTCTTTGTTTTTGCCTTACAAAGTGGAACAGGTGGCTGTCTTTGTGCACGTGTTTGTTTCTCTGGCAGCTGCCAGGAAATCCAGTGGCTAAGTCATGGGGTAGCTTTTCTTGTTCACTTTTTGTTTAACACACTTCTCTACTGGACTCATGTGCTACTTTCATGATTTAAAAAAAAAAAATCCTAAAAAACAGAAAGAGGTAGGTAGGTCGTCCTGTTGGCTCCTGAGGAGAGGCGCCTGATCAGTCACTGCTGGTTACGTAAGCTGCTGGTCCTTATGTAAGGAAACCCGAAAAAGATATTTCTACGGTGTTCATGCACCAGCCAGCAGCTGGGTTTAAAAGATGGGAATGGGGCTGTGTCCAGACAGGGCCTGTCACTTTAATAGGAAATGTCACTGAGTTCCCAGGACCAGGGTTACCTACTGGGAAAGCCCTTCTTAAATTAAGGCCTACTTCTCTCTGGGCTGTCCAAGAACTGCAGAGCTGGAAGGGACTTTTCCAGCAGTCTCATGTGGAAACACATGCTTGCAAGGCCTGCCAAAGGGCGAGCGTGTGACCTTGTAAGGACAAAATTCAATGGCCAGGTAGGAGAGTTTTTGTTTTATTTTGGTCCAGGTCCTGGGGCTTGAACTCAGGGCCTGGGCACGGTCCCTAAACTTCTTTTGCTCAAGTTTGACACTCTATCACTTAAGCCACAGCTCCATTTCTGGCTTTTTGGTGGTTAATTGGAGACAAAGACTCTCACAGGGGCTGGGAACATGGCTCAGTGGTAGAGTGCTTGCCTTGCATGCATGAGGCCCTGGGTTCAATTCCTCAATACCACATATCAGAAAAAGCCTGAAGTGAAGTTGTGGCTCAACTGGTAGGATGCTAGCCCTGAACTGAAGAGCTGAGGGTCAGTGCCCAGGCCCAGAGTTCAGGCTCCATGACCGACCAAAAACAAATGACTCTTACAGACCTCCCTGCCTGGGCTGGCTTCAAACTGTAATCCTCAGATCTTAGCCTACTGAGTAGCAGCTCAGATTACAGGCATGAGCCACTGGCACCTGGCTCTGAGAGGGAGTTTTTAATTTTTTATTTTAAACATTTCCTGAAATTCCAATTCACCTTTTTTTTTTTTTTTTTTGTCGGTTGTGGGTCTTGATCTCTGGGCCTGGGACTGTCCCTCAGCAATTCAGCTCAAGGCTAGCGCTCTACCACTTGAGCCATGTACCACTTCCGGCTTTTTCTGCTGATGTGGTGCTGAGGAATGGAACTCAGGGCCTCATGCATGCAAGGCAAGCGCTCTACCACCTTCCCAGCCCAAGAGAGGGAGTTTTTCTCAGGTGAAGAGGTGCTTAAACAAAAGCTGTTAAGTACACAGACCTTCAGGAGTGCTGAGGCACAGGCACAGAGTAGAACTGCGAGTGTCTGAACCACTAATTGCCTCTTCTCCAAAAGGTCCCTTAGAATCAACCCACTGCCCACAGTGGTGGGACATCTGCTGGGCACCTCCTGATCAACATGCACAGAAATCAGGATCTAGAAATGAGGGAGCAATGCGGGAGCTGAAGTAGGGTTGTCGGGTTAATACGTGTGTGCAATCGGCTGTGCATGATAAAATGCCAGAGCTGTGGGCACTGTGGAGAAATCAAGTCTTCGGAAAAGAGGCGAGGGTTGAGCTGGGCAGGAAGCCAGGACAGCAAGGGAAGGAAAGAGGTGCAGAAACAGACATCCACACCCGAGGGCAAAGGAGCCAGGTAGGGGCAGGGAGCCAGGAGCTCCAGGGAGAAAGCAAAGCGGGGTGGGGAGTGGGCGGGAGTCTCCTGTAACTGCACGTGCTAACGCCAGAGATAGAACACACTAAGGCTCCAGGCGGGGAGTGGGTGCCAGGCACGCTTCAAGCCCGGGGCTTCAAGCCCGGGGATTCGGGGGAGTCCGGCTGGAGTCCAGCGCCAGGGCGCTCACCTCCACGGCGGCCTGGTGGGCGGGAGTGCGGCAGTCAGGGGGGCAGGGCAGGGACGGGGTACTCACCCGCAGAGGGAGGCTGTGGTGGTGGTGTCCGCATACAGCATGCGAGCACTGGGGGTGCTGCTACCCAGAGCAACGCGTGGGGGAGGGGCTCACTTCTCCGCACCTATGGCTTCCATATTTAGGGAAACTGAGGACAGGAGTCATTTTCTTTGATTTGCCCAGAATGGAAACCAAAATCTATTTGGATCTTTAGTGTGTAAATTACTGTACTACGAGATTCTATTAACTGTGACATCTCTTGAGGTATTACTATTATTTTTATTATTAGCGGTACCAGGGTTTGAACTCAGGTGCTCTACCACCTGAGCCTCGTCTTAGCCTAATGACTCCATTTTACGGCGGTGTAGAAGAGGCTCAGAGGGATCGACCGCCAGGCCCGGCTCTGGGCCGGATCCCCCCCACCCCCGCGCTCTGGGCCGCGGCTGTGGGCCGGATCCCCACCGCAGTCCCCGCCGCGCTCCAGGCCCGGCTCCGGGCCG